TATTGTTCTCCACTCCTTATCTTTAGTCTAATTGCATCCTTACAGGTTAGATGTGTTTCCCGAAGGCAGCAGATACTTGGCTTGTGTTTTTTTTTATCCATTCGGCCAGCCTATGTCTCTTGAGTGGGGAGTTCAAGCCATTCACATTTATTGAGATAACTGATAGGTGGGGAAGATTTCTGTTCATTATGTTGGGTTGAACTTTGTTGCTTTGTTTTCTCTCTTGAGCCATTATAGTGTCTACACTTTTATTTTTAGCTTTGAGTAGATTTACATTCCTGAGTGTTTAATGTGCTGATCCGTGGGTAACACTGTTTTGAGTACTTCTTGAAGGGCTGGTCTTGTCTTGGTGAATTCCCTCAGTTTTTGCTCATCTGAGAATGTCTTCATTTCTCCTTCATATACAAAACTTAGTTTTGCAGGGAATAAGATTCTAGGCTGGGCATTGTTTCGTTTCAGGAGAGTGAGAATGGGGCCCCAGTCTCTCCTTGCTTGTAAAGTCTCAGTAGAGAAGTCTGGTGTTATTCAAATTGGCTTTCCCTTGTATGTTACTTGCTTCTTTCGTCTTACAGCTCTTAGAAGGGCCTCTTTAATTGATATTTTGGTCAGTGTGATGACTGCATGTCGTGACGTCTTCCTGTTTGCATTGAATCTCCCAGGGGTCCTCTGAGCTTCTGGAACTTGTATATCGAGATTTTGAGCAAGGCCTTTGAAATTTTCCTCTATTATATCTTCAGATAGCTTGTCCAACCCTTGAGTGTTTTCTTCTTCCCCTTCTGGTAACCCTATGACCCTCACATTAGGTTTCTTCACATAATCCCACATCTCTTGTAGGCTTTGCTCTTTTCTCTTGTTTCTCTGCTCCATATCTGTGACTGATTTATTTAATTGGAAGGTGTTATATTCAATCTCTGAGATTCTTTATTCTGTTTGATCTACCCTGTTCTTCAGGCTTTCCACTGTGTAGTTCCCTGAATTGATTCTTAATCAATCTTTAATCAATCCAGGAGTTCGGTTAAACTTTTCTTCATTGTATCAATTTCTTTAGTGAACTTTTGTTCCAGGTCCTGAAGGCTTTTTGTGGTTTCTTTGTGTTGGTTATCGAGTTGTTCGTGCAGGTCATTGAATTTTCTGATTATCAACATTCAAAATTCCTCTTCTGTCATTTTGGTTGCCTGATTTTGGTTGGTGTCTGTTTCTAGGGGGCTGGTGCGCCTCTTTAGGGGTGTGGTTTCCGTTAGGTTCTTCATATTTCCGGAGTTCCTTCACTGATTTCTTCCCATGTCGATCAGTTGTTGCTTCTTTCCTTTGGGTTTTCATTTGGGTATTGACATGCCTTGTAGGTGGTGTTTGTCGGTGAGATTCGACCTCACCCTGTATGATGAGTCAGTAGGTGCTGTGAAAAGGGTGTGCAGAATGTCCTCCCTGTCAGTAGGTGGAGTTTGCTTGGAGGAACAGTCTACGTTGTTGTTTTTGTGTCCTGTAGCCAGCTTTTGCTCCTCTATAGAGGCACTCTAGTGCCTCAGGTGGTGGGTGGGGCCCTGGGACTTCCAGGTGTGTCCTTTTCTCCCCCTCAGTGAGGGCTGGTCTGGCAATGAGTCTGGGCGGAGCTGGGTTGTATAAGCCTACCCTCAGGCACCACCAATGCCATTAGCAGGGGTCAAAGTTCTGTTCTCTGCTCAGGAACAGACTCTTAATGCATTCAGTCTTCTATAACCTTGGCCCATAGGCCTCCCACACCCATTTCCCACTCACAAATACCAAGGTAATGGAAATAATTAGGTGGTAACCTTTGCCCAATTTCCCAAATTTGCCCATTCCTAAGAATTACTTGGGAAGCCTGTGAAAATGGAACTTCTAAACTCCCTTTCCTAGACAGTCCATGTCAGTACACCTGAGGGAAGGGCCAGGATTCCATACTTTAACAAGCAACTCAGGTTAGTTTGAGGAACACTGTTGGTGCTGATTTTCCCTGGCAAACCTCGCCCTGCTCTGACCAGACCTTGAAAGGCAGGAGACTGGGCTCTGGTGTCAGCTCTACCACAAACAGCTGTGTGACAACCAGCAAGTCCCTCCCCCAAGGGCTCCAAGGAGTTGCTGGGCCTTATCCTCCAGAGTCTCAGCTCCCTCTTATGACAACAACACACAGCACACAGATGCAAAGAATGGGCTGTGGAGTCAGGCTGCCAGGACCTTTGTTCATTAACCATGTTTACTTGGGTTATTCAAATCCTTGAAGCCTCATTCTTGGTATCTGTAAACTGGGGATGACAATAATACTTATGCCAAGAGGAACTGTGAAAGCAGTACCTAGCAATGGTGTGCACGCTCTATGACCTATTATAATGTCATGAGAGTTGTCACGAAAGATGCATTTATTAATAACTAATTTTCCCACTTGTAATTTAGACATATTATTAGTAAACTTCTGATAAAAAGGTATACCAGACTGACTGAAATAATATCAAAAGCAAACAAAATAACAATTTAGTTTGCCAAGAAGCCAGAACAATTCAAAAGTTGACAAAAGAGGTAAAATGCTGTTACATACATACCTTGAACAGGGATTTCCCCATAGTTTGGTCTCTTATCTGACAGGGCTGTCAGGGGTTTGGATGTTGAGATTGGTCCACTTAATGAATGTCTCTGAAATCAAAAGATAAACAGTATTAAAGTTAGGTTAAATCTAGTGCTGGGTCTCACAAAGAAGGTAAATATTGCACTGAGTGAATATTTAATTATAAATTTGCATTAATTCCTTCCATACTGCTATCGTAAGGCTGTGACACACATATACACACATTGCACATGCTCTCGTTCTCTCTCTGCAGGCATGTAATAAGATCGATATACTTTCTAAAAACTTAAACTTATTATAATTGTAGATTCACATGCAGTTGTAAGTAGCAGCACTGAGAGATCCTATGTCCTCTTGACTCGGTTTTCCCAATGGTAAAATCTTACAAATCAGTAGTAGACTATCAAATCCAGGATAGGAACACTGACATAGTCAAGACAGAGATCATTTCCATCACCACGGGGTCCCTCTTGTGGCCAAACAGCCACACCCACCTCCCCTGCCCTGACCCCACATCGCCAACCCTGGGTAACCACTGGTATTCAGAATGTAAGTTTCATTATTTTGTTTCAAGAGAATCCTTAAAATATCACATACCAATTCACTAAATATGAAAACATGTTCCCAAATGAAATACAGACTTGCCCCTACTGTAGTCATACTGGCCATTCCTGTCCTGGCTCCTCAAAGATCTTGAATCTGTCACCTGCCCACTAACTCCATCCATTACTACAGCTGCCCTAATGCATCCAGCATCTCAATCCAGCACCACGCAACAGCTCTGTCACTGGCTCCTCATCTCCAGACTTCTGCACATACAAGCACCCATACATACCCACCACAAACACTCAGAACCCCTTGGGCCTCTGGCTTCATCTCCTGCCACCCCTCCATATGCTCGGATACACCAATTCTGTCCTTACTACCACACGCACCATGCTGCGCACCATGCTTCATCCCCTTGGCTTTCCCCCAGGCTGTCTGATCTGCTAACTGCTAACCACTCATTTCATACACCCAGCAGAAATGTGTGAGGGCTCCAGCCGCTCCATATCCTTGCCACACTTTGTAGCACAAGCCTTTTAAATTTGGGCCATTCTAAAGGATACCGAGTGGGATCTCAGTGTGGATTCAATTTCCATTTCCCTGATGACTAATGATGTCGAGCATCTTTTCACATGCCTACTGGCCATTTATATATCTTCTCCTGATGGCCAGGTGTGGTGGCTCATGCCTGTGATCCTAGCACTCTAGGAGGCCAAGGCGGAAGGATTGTTGAGCTCAGCAGTTCGAGATCAGCCTGAGCAAGAGTGAAGCCCCGTCTCTACTAAATACAGAAAAATTAGCCGGGCACAGTGACGCATGCCTGTAGTCCCAGCTACTCGTGAGGCTGAGGCAATAGGATCACTTGAGCCCAGAGTTTTGAAGTTGCTATAAGCTAGGCTGAGGTCACAGCACTCCAGGCTGGGTGTCGGAGCAAGACTCCGTATGTATGTATGTATGTATGTATAAATAAATAAATGTATCTTCTCTTAGGAAGGGTCTTTTCAAATCTTTTGCCCATCATTTATTGGGTTGCCTGTCATTCTCTTACTGAGATATGATGCAAGTCTTTTGTCTGATAAATGTCTTGTGAATACATTCTATCCAATCTATAGTTTGACTCTGCATTTACTTAATGTCTTTCAGAGAAGTTTTAAATTTTGATGCCAAATTTATCAATTTGCTTTTATGGTCCACGCTTTTTTATATCCTAAATAATAAATCTTTGCATTCTCAATGGTCATAAAGATTTTCTCTCATGTTCTCATTAAAAGTTTTATAGGCCAGGCATGATGGCTCACACCTGTAATCCCAGCACTTTGGGAGGCTAGGTAGGAGGGTTAGTTGAGGTCAGGAGTTCAAGACCATCCTAGGCAACATAGCAAGATCTATGTCTATAAAAAAAAAAAAAAATTTTGTTTTTGAGACAGAGTCTCACTCTGTCACCCCAAGTCATCATATCTCACTGCAACTTCAAACTTCTGGGCTCAAGTGATCCTCCTGCCTCAACCTCCTGAGTAGCTGAACTAGACGTGTATGCCATGACACCCGGCTTAATTTTTCTAATTTTAGTAGAGACAGGGTCTTGCTCAGACTAGTCTTAAACTCCTGACCTCAAGCAATTCTCCTGCCTTGGCCTCCCAGAGTGCTGGGATTACAGGTATGAGCCACCATCCCCAGTCTACAAAAAATTTTTTAAAAAGTTAGCCAGGCGTAGTGGCATACATCTGTACTCCTAGCTACTTTTGAGGCAGAGGCTAAATAAATAAATAGATACATTTTTACAGATTTAGCTTTTACATTTAGGCCTACAGTCAATTTCAATTTTTGTGTATGCCACAAGGTAATTAATGATTGAGCTTTTTTTTTTTTTTTATTTAGTTATCTAGTTGTCTCAGAAACCTTTCTTGAAAATACTACCCCTTCACCATTGGATCACTTTGGCATGTCCATTGAAAATCAATTGACCTACTTCTGAGCTCTCTTCTCTATTCCACTGGCCTAATGTCTACATTGAAATATATGTCAGCACCACACTGTCTCCATCATTCTAACTTTATAATAAGTGTTGAAGTCAGGTAGCACAAGTTCTCCAAGTTCTTTTCTTCCTCCCAGATGCTTTGGATATTCCGGGCCCTTTGCATTTCCATATAAATCTGTCTTGTCAATTTCTACCCAAAGAGCACTAGGATTTTAACCGGGATTATATTGAATCTATAGATTAATTTAAAGGAGATCTGCAAGATATTCACAACATTAAATTTTCAAATCCATAAATATGATATTTCTTTCCATTTATTACTTTTTTAATATCTCTCAGCATTTTTATAGTTTTTGTTATACACATTTTTGTATGTATTTCCCTAAATTTATTGCTAAGTATTTCTATTTCCAATTGTTCACGCTAATATATAGAAAAACAAATTATTTTTGTATAATGACCTTGTATCTTGTAACACTGCTCAATCAAGAAGTTTTTTTTGTGGATTCCTTTGGATTTTCTACATAAATGATCATGTCCCCTGCAAATAATGACAGTTTTACTTCTTTCTTTCTGATCTGTATTCTTTCTTTCTTTTTCTTTTCTTTTTTTGCTTACTTCCTAGGGCAAGAGCTCCAGCAAAATGTTGAAGAAAAGAAGTGGTAAGAGTGGATACCCTACCCTTCTTGTTCCTAATCCTAGAGAGAATACATGCAGCCTCTCTATGAGGCATGATGTTAGCCTCAGACCTTCCCCAGATTCCCTTTATAAGATTGAGGAAATTCCTTTCTATTTCTAGTTTGCTGAAGAGTTTTCACCATGAGCTTGGCGTGGAGGCTCACACCTGTAATCCTAGCACTCCAGGAGGCTGAGGCGGGAGGATCATTTGAGCTCAGGAGTTCCAGACCAGCCTGAGCAAGAGTGAGACCCCGACTCTATTAAAAAACAATAGAAATTAGCTGGACAACTAAAAATGTATAGAAAAAATTAGCTGGGCATGGTGGCACATGCTTGTAGTCCCAGCTACTTGGGAAGCTGAGGCAGTAGGGATTGCTTTAGGAGTTTGAGGTTGCTGTAAGCTAGGCTGATGCCATGGCACTCTAGCCTGGGCAACAAAGTGAAACTCTTTCTCAAGAAAAAAAAAGAGTTTTCACTATGAATGGGTATGAAATTTTGTCAAATGTTTCTTATACAGATACTGAAATTAATGTTTTTTCCTCCTTTATTCTGTTGAGGTAAATTTTAACCTGTATCCCTGGGTACACCACACTTAGTAACGGTGGACTATCATTTTCATATATTACTAGATTCAATTTGCTAATACATTCTTTTAAGCTTGCATTTATAATCATAAGGAATACTGCTTAGCAGTTTTCTTTTTTTGTAATTTGTCTGGTTTTGCTAACAGGTAATGCTGGCTTCACAGAATGAACTAGAAAGTCATCTTTCTGTTCTGTTTTCTGAAAGACTTTTACAGGATTGCAATTATTTCTTCTACAAAGGTTTAATTAAATTCACTAGTATACCAGGCATTACTTTTAAGATAAAAAAAAGAAAAAAAATAAATTCACTAGTAAAACCACCTGGGCCTGGCCTTTTCTTTGTAGGAATGCTTTTTGAAATAATCATGGATTCATGGGAAGTAGCAAAGATAGTATAGAGGAGTCCCACATACTCTTCATCCATTTCCTGCAGTGGTCTGCAAATGATGAATTCCCGCAGCTTTTACTTACCTAACGTATTTTAATATTACTCTTTTTTTTGAAGATACAGAATTATAAGCTAACAGTTGTTTTTCTTTCAGCATTAAATATTGCATTCCATTGTCTTCTGACTTGCATAGTTTACAACTAGAAGTCTGTGGTCATTCTTGTCCGAATGTCCTGAAGAGTTTTTAATCATCACTGGTTTTTCAGCAGTGTTCTGTGCTGGGGGCTTGGGAGGAGTGTTTGTATATGCTTATTTTGCTTTAGGTTCCTGATTTCTTGGATCTGTGAATGTATACTTTCTATCGCATCTGGATAAATTTCAGCCATCATTTCTTCAAACATATCCTCTCTCACTGCCCATTACCCTGCTGCTTTGTTCTTGGACTCAAATTTCAGGTATGTAAGACCACTTGATTTTATCTCATAAGTCAAAGGCTGAGTTCATTTTTTCCCCATTCTTTTTTTTTTCTCTTTGTGCCTCATTATGGATAGGTTCTGCTGCTGTGTCCTCCAATGTACTGATCTTTTCCTCTGTCCTTTTTTGTATCTTCCATTTCTCTCTTCATCTGTGTATGAAGTTTCCCTTTACAGACTTAAGCACAGAGAGCATATCAATATCCTTGTGCAGTAATTTCATCCTTTCTATCCTTTCCAGGTGGTCTGCATCTATTGACTGATTTTTCTCATGACTACAAGTCACATTTTCCTGCCTCCTCCTTGTTTAGTAATTTTTTGTTATTGCATGGCAGACTGTGTATTTTTCATTATTGAGTCTTGTATTTTGCTGTATTCCTTTAAGAATTATTACATTGTGTACGCTACTATATTAGATAAATTTCCCCAAAACTTAGTGCCATAAAACAATAAACATTTATGATCTCATAGTTTCTATGGGTCAGAAAGCTTCGCTGGGTGTGTTTGGCTCAAAGTCTCTCATAGGAAAGCAATCAAGCTGCCAGCAGGGCTGCAGTTATCCCAAGGAAAACTGGAGGAAGATCTACTTCCAAGCTCATCTACATGCTGCTCACAAGCCTCAGGAGATCTGCTTCCAACCTTACTTACATGGGCTGGCTCACAACATGGCAACTGGGCCCCCAGTGTGGATCTAAGAGATAGCAAGAGGAATACTTTAAATAGAAGCAGATCTTTTCATAACCTCATCTTGAAAGTGACAGCCTTATCCCATCACTTCTGTCATATTCTATTCACTGGAAACACATCATGAAGTGCAGCCAACATTCACCATGAACAGATTACATGAGGAACAACCCCCAGGAGTCGAGGACCCAGGGAAGCACTTTGCAGGCTGCCTACCACTGTTACTTATGGGTCTTCTTGGTCCTTGTGAAGCTTATTTTTAAGGTCTTTTAGGGCGTATCTAGAATAGCATTTACTCTAGGGCTACTTAGTTCCACTTTAAAGTGTGGTCCTTAAGGGGGCTCTACTGAATGCCCCACCTATTCAAAGAGGTTTCTCCACAGTGGCTGCTGGGAACTCAAATGATCCCGTGCCCTGTGTGAACTGGGAAGTGCTTGCCTGATAACTCCCCATCCCTGGGAAATGTTCCTTGGAATTTATGCTTGCCTAGGCCTGTGGGGTTTCTCTCAATGCACGTACAGACTGACATTCAAGCAAAGATTCAAAGGGACACCTATCAGATTTCTGGACCCCTTTTTCTACATAGCTACCCCCTCCCAGTATTCTGCCCTATAAATTCTAGCAGTCTCTTTTTCCCTGAATACTGGTTTGTGTCCCCTCAGATCCCACTGGTTTCCCTTCCCTGTTCCATGTGGGTTCACACTCTTTGTACCACCATTTGGAAAGTGCCTCAGGAAAAGACTGTGGGACACAGTAGGACTTACCTCATTTCTTAACTTTTGTTCAAGGATCACAATCACAGTGTTGTACTGCTTGTTTTACAATGCCTGAAAATAAATGCTTCCTTGATTTTGTCCAGTGTTCTAGTTGTTTATAATGGCAGAATAATCCAGCCCCTCTTACTACCTTGTAGCCAGTAGAAGAATTCCCACCCAGCGATTTTTGAGATAGTAACAATCCCAATGTTCAGCCCCAGTCCCTAGTGATTCTGGTTCACTAGGATGAGGCCTGGGAATTCATGTGTTTAAAACTCTCCATGTGATTTTTTTGTTTTTTAAAGAGAAAGTGTTTCACGATGTTGCCCCGGCTGGTCTCAAACCTTTGGGCTCCAGTAAGCCTCCTGCCTCAGCCTACCAAGTAGCTAGGATTACAGGTGCATACTACTGATCCGGCTTCCACGTGATTTTAATATACAATTAGGTTTGAGAAGCAATATACTAACTAATCATGTACTAAAAAGCTACTGAATGTAGCTTATAATTATTAGCTTTTTCAAGTTATAGAAATGAGGCCCAGCCCGGGCAGCCGTGGACCATGGAGGGTGGGTTTGCCGGGCTGCCGCGCGAGGGGCCGGGACCTGCCACTGCTGCTACGCTGCCTCGGGATACGCCGCCTGCTTGCTGCCCGGGCCTGGGCGCGGCCCGAGGTCAAGGCCCTGGACTCCAGCCTCGAAGACCTGCTCACCAGAGTGGATGAGTTCATGGGCATGCTGGACATGATTCGAGGCGACTCCCCGCACGTCGGCAGTGAGGGCGTGCCTCGCATTTACGCCAAGGCTGCCGAGATGAGGCAGATCTACGGCAGGATCGACAAGCTGGAGGCCTTCGTGAGGATGATCGGCGACAGCGTGGCCAGGACGGAGGAGCAAGTGACCAAAGCCGAAGCCAAACTGGGGGCTTTCCCCAGGGCCTTCAAAAAACTCCTGCACACTATGAACGTGCCCTCCCTCTTTAACAAGTCGTCCCCCTCAAGGCTGCAGCAAATGGGCTACGAACTCCCTGTCCTGTTTCGGACCGAAGACTACTTCCCTTGTTGCAGTGAAAGACCTCAGCTCTGAGTGGTCCCACCATTCCTGCAACAAAACCCCAGCTAAGATTCTTATCTCAAACATTAAGTTAATTAAAATCATATTAATAGGCATATATGATGTTGGAGTACGAAATTTTTAGTTTCTGCAAACTCTACTTCTTAGTATATTCACTATTCCATATAGAATGTACAGATTTTCTATGTCTTCCTATTTTTTTTTTTTTTTTAAACAGAGCCACAGTCTGGCTGTGCTGCTCACTCAGGCTGGCTTCCAACTCCTGGGCTGAAAGTGATCCTCTGGCCTAAGCCTCCTGAGTAGCTGGGACTACTGGTGCACCCTACCCCAGCCTATCTTTCAATTCTAACCTGAAACCTTGGTCAGGGTAAAGGGCAACAAAATGAATGAAATTATCTGTGCACTGTGGCAGAACTATTATTTTTATGGATTTTACTACTCAACTAACAATATTACCTTTTCGAGATTTATATTGTTTATATAATCATAAGAAAAACGAGCCGTTAAAGCCTTGTTATTATTCAATCCTAATAGTCATTAAATTTTCTATGACCTACTTTTAGGGTAAATGGCACATTATTTAGCATCATATTAAACTTTACATAGCATGTATTGTAAACTGAAGGAAATTATACAAATTCTGAGAAAATATATTGAATTTTTGCAACTAACTCTGAAGTTGTATTTTAAAGTATGACCTCACAGTCTTAGTTTGTCCATAGCAAACATCTATATGTGGCTGCCAATGTTTGGTTTATAATAATAAAAATTTTAAATTTTATTGGAAAAAAAAAAAGAAATTAGATTTTTTTCCCCCTATTTAAAAAGATTTACAAAGTGATGCCTTACAAAGTTAATGTTATGAAACTTCAACTGACAACATTATATAAACTTCATCTTATTTGAAATTTATTATATTTGGCATCTACATTTTGCTTTTATTTATATCTTCAAAATCTTTCAGAAAAGGTCTGATTAACAGAGACTACATAAAAAGCATTAAATCTGTAGGTGTTATATAGAATCCCCTTTCCCTTCCTTTTACATTAAGACGTAACGTCTTGTACATACACAGAAACACAAAGCCACTAACTTGCAACATCACAAATGTAGAGGGAGCACACTTTCTCCTCAACTTTACAAAAAAAGATGTTCACTCCTAAAACACATGGTCACTAGCTAACACAAAAGTCTCAACTCAACTCTTTGAGAGTCTCTGAAACCCTATTTCAGGAAAGAGACGCAGCCGAGGCTGACTTATCTCACAGGATACTGGGTTTTAGGCCATTTTTCCTTTGGCTACTAACACCTTTGTGGAAACACCCCACCTCAGCCACACCTACCAAAAGTGGCTGAATAAAATGCACAACGAGAAAGTCTCTTGAGAAACACAGAGTAACAACCACCTGCCCTGCCTCTGGTCTGCACTTACACAATGGCAACGAAGAACAACTTCCAAAACTTATTTATAATGGATCAGGAACGCCCTTGTGTAACAGAATGGCCCCCAAGGAATCACTGTTCTCTGAATTCACACTTTAGGTGGAGTCCTCCCACCTAAATCTGAGCTGGCCTTGTGATTTCCTTGGACCAAAAAAATGGGACAGAAGTGTCACTGTCTGAGTTCCAAGCCCACGTCTAACTTCCATTTTCATGCTCTTGGAACTGGAGATATACCGTGAAGGTGCCCAGGAAGAAAAATCATTTGGAAAAGGGAGCCCAGGTATCCTGTAAGCCCAGACCCCAGCCCTCTCTGGCTGACTATAGCTACAGGAATGAACCTAACAAAGCCAGCAAAGAACTAGATTATCTAGCCAACCTTGAAAAATGTAAAAAATAACATTCTTATTATAGGCTACTTTTGCTATTACATTCCTATTATAAGCCACTTTTGCTATGCAGCAAGGGCTGAGACATACCAACTATATACCCTACTTAGAGAGATGTCTTGGTATAGTGATTAATAATAGCATATTCTCTGAAGCCAGACTACCCATGTTTTGAACCTACTACTTCTTAGCTATCTGAACTTCAGCAAGTTACTTAACTTTTCTGGGCCACTGTTTCCACATGTGAAAAACAGGGATAACAACAGTACTTAATACCCCGTTGGGTTGTAAGTATTAAATGAGTTAACATTATTAGCATTTGGAACAGTTTAGAGCACATGGTAAGTGTTCAACTATTATTAGCTATTACTACCATTAGAGTTTTCCAGAAGAATAACACAACTTACATTTATGTAATTAATCTCAATTAAAGATATTCACAGTATTTTAGGAAACAAATCCCAAATACAACCCTTATGAAGTAGTCATTTGCCTACCCGATAAACATGTAAATGACTTTGGAGAAGTCTACTTATTCAGATTCCTAGGCCCCCAGAACTTCCATGGTTCCAGCCACTTACCTGCATGGGGGACACAGCTGCTGCAGGAGGGGTTTTCATAGGACTTGGACTCAGAGGTGTTCGAGGAATTGTAGCTGCAGCAGGACTTGGTACTACAGAAACAACAAACAAGCCAATGATGAATGCACCATAGTACAATGGAAGCTTTCGTAACTGGTCTCCACTGAAGGATTCATCAGATTAACCAGTACTCTCCCATGCCCTAGAAACTGTCTCGGCTGATGCCTAACCTATGCTGCACACTCACAGCCGTGCCCCAGTGTACAGGTGCTTCTCCCCCCACCAGGTGGACTGCTTGCTTCCCTATAGTAGTCACATTTATTTCCAACCCTGGATTCGCTGGTCATTCCACTTCTGTTTTTTTTTGTTTTTTTTTTTTTGAGACAGAGTCTTACTTTGTTGTCCAGGCTAGAGTGAGTGCCGTGGCGTCAGCCTAGCTCACAGCAACCTCAATCTCCTGGGCTCGAGTGATCCTTCTGCCTCAGCCTCCCGAGTAGCTGGGACTACAGGCATGCGCCACTATGCCCGGCTAATTTTTTTTATATATATATCAGTTGGCCAATTAATTTCTTTCTGTTTATAGTAGAGACGGGGTCTCGCTCTTGCTCAGGCTGGTTCACTTCTGTTATTTAACTACATGATGTGGTTAACATGCTTCATAAACCAATGAAATCCAAGTATAAAAAAAAAACCCAGGAGAAGTAGTTCTATAACTGCATCAGGTAAGAACCTAGCATGCGGTGGATGTTCAATAACTGCATATTAAGCTAGGCGTGGTGTTCCACACCTGAATCCCAGCTACTTAGGAGGCTGAGGTGGGATGGTCGCATGAGCCTAGGCTCCAGACTGGGCAACTTAGTGAGACTTATCTCAAAACAAACAAATAAACAAAAAAAAACCCAAAAAACCCAAGGCCAGGCGTAATGGCTCATGCCTATAAGCCTAGCACTCTGGGAGGCCAAGGTGGGAGGATCGCTTGAGCTCAGGAGTTCAAAACCAGCCTGAGCAAGAGTGAGACCCATCTCTACTTAAAGTAGAAAGAAATTAGCTGGACAACTAAAAATACATAGAAAAATTAGTCAGGCGTGATGGTGCACGCCTGTAGTCCCAGCTACTCTGGAGGCTGAGTCAGAAGGATTGCTTGAGCCCGGGAGTTTGAGGTTGCTGTGAGCTAGGCTGACGCCACGGCACTCTAGCCCAGGCAACAGAGATTCAAAAACAAACAAACAAATAAACAAACAAAAAAACCAAAACTGTGTATTAAACAAAAGAATGATGAACTCCTGCTCATCTTTCCTCCTGCAGAGTTCATTGCTTCACACCGTATGCATTTCCTGATTTGTATTTAATACAGGCATGTGTAAATATCTGTTTGCATATCAGTCTCCCTTCTCTGAACTGATGAAAAGTTGTTTATTCTTTTTCTAATTAATTTATTAATTTTGAGATACTTGAGCATAGCTCACATTCTGGTTATTCATTTGAAGCTGAACTGAATTAAAAACAAGATACACAAATGAACTCAGGAACATTACGCAATGTGGCAAGAAGCAGCAGATCACTGTGGACCTTTGATGCAGCCACGTACTGATGTTTAGAATTGACATCTTTTTTTTTTTTTTTTTTTGAGACAGAGTCTCACTTTGTTGTCCAGGCTAGAGTGAGTGCCGTGGCGTCAGCCTAGCTCACAGCAACCTCAAACTCCTGGGCTCAAGCGATCCTCCTGCCTCAGCCTCCCGAGTAGCTGGGACTACAGGCATGTGCCACCATGCCCAGCTAATTTTTTTTTTATATATATATTAGTTGGCCAATTAATTTCTTTCTATTTATAGTAGAGACGGGGTCTCACTCTTGCTCAGGCTGGTTTTGAACTCCTGACCTTGAGCAATCCGCCCGCCTCGGCCTCCCAAGAGCTAGGATTACAGGCGTGAGCCACAGCGCCCGGCCAAGAATTGACATCTTTAGATGTATTCTTTTTACTGAGATAAAATTCCCATAATAAAATTAACCATTTTAAAATATATAGTTCAGTGGCATTCTGTACATTCAAAATATTGTGCAACCATCACATCTATCAAGTTTCAAATCATTTTATCAACCCAAAAGGTAACCCAGGACCTATTAAGCAATCACTCCCCCTCCACCCCTCCCCCAGTCCTTGGCAATCACCAATGTGCTTTCTATCTCTATGGCTTGACCTAATCTGCATATTTCATGTAAATGGAATCTTATGTGGTCTGTTCTGTCTTCTTTCTTTTTTTTTTTTTTTTTCCCAAGACAATGCCCAAGTATGTTCTGTCTTCTTTCAATTAACATAATGTCATAAAGGTTCATCCATGTCATAGCACATATCGGTACTTCATTTCTTTCTTATGGCTTAATAATATTCCATTGAATGGACATACCACATTTTGTTTATCCATTCATCCAATGCACAGACACCTGAGTCACTTCCATTTCTTGCCTAAGAGTGCTGCTATGAACATTATGTACAAGTACAGATGTTCCTCAATTTACAGTGAGGTTACATCCCAATTAACCTGCCATAATTTGATAATACTGTAAGTCAAAAATGCATTTAATATACCTGGCCCATTAAATATCATAGCCTAGCCTACCTTAAACGTGCTCAGAACACTTACATCAGCCTAGAGTTGAATAAAATCTAACATAAAGCCTATGGTATAATAAAGTGTTGAATATCTCATGTAATTTACTGAATACCATACCAAATATATATATTATATTGCTTTTACACCATCATAAAGTTGAAAAATTCTAAGTCAAACCATTGAAAGTCAGGGACCATCTGTATTTATCTGAATACCTGTTTTACAGTTCTTTTGAGCATGTAACTAGGAGTGGAACTGATGGGCCATTTAGATATATTTGATTATAAAATAACATAGTCAGCTTTTTAAAAAATATCAATATAGAGGCAGATATAACTTTTTCTGCATTACAGCCTGTTTTAACATTTTAAGGTAGTTGCACATTTTAGTGTAGACATTCCACCACCATTTTATTTTTAAAGCACATATATTTCATTTACTGTCAAACCACTGTAAGTCAGGGACCACCTATATTTGTCTGAATACCTAGTTTTTAATTCTTTTGAGTATATAACAAGAAATAGAATTATGATTGTATTAATGGGTCATAATTGTCTTAATTCTTTTAATGGGCATTTTAAACAATATCCAGGTTTTTCAAACAATGCTATATTAAAAACTCTATATATATCTTTTTTTTTTTTTCTTTTTTTTTTTTTTGAGACAGAGTCTTGCTCTGTTGCCTGGGCTAGAGTGCCGTGGCATCAGCCTACCTCACAGCAACCTCAAACTCCTGGGCTCAAGGAATCCTTCTGCCTCAGCCTCCCGAGTAGCCAGGACTACAGGCATGTGCCACCATGCCCGGCTAATTTTTTCTATATATTTTTAGTTGTCCGGCTAATTTCTTTCTATTTTTAGCAGAGACGGGGTCTCACTCTTGCTCAGGCTGTTCCTGAACTCCTGACTTTGAGTGATCCTCCCGCCTCGGCCTTCCAGAGTGCTAGGATTACAGGCGTGAGCCACCACATCCGGCCTCTGTATATCTATTTTTATACACTTGTGCCAGTATTATGTACAAGAACTTCAGCTTCTGTGACTATATGCCATTTTACATTGGAAGATACTGTCTAACTGCCCTCTAGAATGTCTAACGTATACGTGTGACTTTTGCTCCTATTTTAAGTCAAAGAAAACTTATTTGCGTATAATCACAGAATTTAGATTCAACAGCCTGCTACAAAGTTTAAAGAATTTCTAGATAAAAATTTAAGAACATATTACAATTAATTGCTTTAAAAACTACATCCCTTTCCGTTTCCCAGAACTGAGGAGATTAGAGATGTGAAAAAGAGGCAGGTATGTGAAGGTGGGGAGGGCGAGCTTCCAGGCGGAGAGGAAGGGCTGGCCCTGTGTGACAGAGCCTGGCTTGATCTGGAACCTGAGTGCAGTGCAGGACTGCAGCAAGCAGGGAAGAGTGGTTCAAATGAGGTAAGGGTCAGCAGGGGCCAGACCATGTAGACATCTGGGAATCAGAATTCCATCCTAATTAAAATAATGCAATTAAAGGATTTTAAATAAGAAAATATCTTTTTGTCATGGAATGAAACAGCGAGGTAATCAGGAGGTTACTGAAATTAGTGGTTGATTATGACTCAAGCTACAGGTTGTGCCACTAGAGGTGGAGAGGAGTAGATGAGCAAAGATACCCATGTGGGAGGCTGGATCACCAGGACTTGCTATAAGGACTAGATGAAGGGGTGAGAAGGAGAAGAACTTAAGGAAGATTCCTAGATTTCTGGCATAAGTAACCAGGTGAGTGGTGCTGCCACTTACACGTAAGGAAAGGCTGGCGCTGGGAGACAAGGGTTTGGTTTTGGACATAAAAGATGTCTAGGAGATACCTGAGTGTCAATGCCAAATGAGCATCTGGATATACAGAACTGAGGAACTCACAGGAAAGGAAGAGCTGAAGTTATGCATCTGGAAGTTTTTAGGCAGAGAGAAGATACTTATAGTCACAGGAATGTGTGTGATCCACCTACGGAGAAAAGACACATCTCTGTATGGGTTAACACACCAGTCTGAGACTGACACCTCTGAAGCTGCATACGTCTCAAATCTCCTGTTAAAATGTACCTTATATTAAGTCTAACTCATCAATATTATAAGAAAGTTAATGAGATTAACAGAATAAGATGGTAAAGAATATCAAAGTAGGCCAGAGAACATATGATAAGTGAATACCACCACATGCCTATGGCACTGGGTACAAGAAATCAGTTACCTTGAGATGCACTGTCGAAGGACTTGATAAGGGTTTTGACAGTGGGAGTTGGCTCTGAGGAAGTTGAGGACCTTCTGCTCAGTCCCATTCCTTGCCTTAAGGCTGCCAGATCTCTCTCAACAGCATTCATGTAATTGTATACCCGGCCTCGCTCCTCTTCTTGCCTGAATATTAAAACCAGAGCATTTTTACCTATGTACTAAAAAATATACATTTTCCCCTCCCAACTGAAAAGCATTAAAAAGTATCTTTAAATAATTGTATCAGTTGAGCTTAGTAAATTACCTGGTCTAATATTCCCATTTGCTTGGTAAATATCCAGGAAATGATATTGAAATTTTTATATCAGGTTATCCTAAGTAAGTTAAATAATCATCAAATTCCATCTTCATCTGAGTAAGTGTAAGGTTAGGGTACCAGTAATCAATTAGCAGTAAAATGGAAGGCAGACTGGCCAGAGATCCTGACTCAGACCTGGGAATCTCCAGATCCTGTACTGCCAAGAAGACCCAACCCTTCAGAGGAGCCTGGGGATTCACCAGTACATTCACCAGTATGAATAATTACACTGGCTCTAGCCAACATGTCATGCTTAGATGTGGAAACACAAAGAAGTGAAACTAATGCCCATGCTCTTAAAAATAAACAAACAAATAAAAAACCCAAGAAAACTGTTGTAATCTCCAAACAGAAAAAAACCCTTAGATCCATATTAGTAATATGAGTCCCCTAGAAGCTCAGTGTGATGTATCCTGAGTCATCTGAAAAAATCAATTCCATTTCATTTCTTGCCCACTCTAATTCACTGAGCTGATTGACACCCAAGTTTTTACCTGGATAAGAGTATAATTGCAGAGTTTGTACATGTCACATAACTATCAAGTACGTCATAGATAGACCGAAATAAAGCCAGTCCTTAGGAAAATTTACTTTGGTGGCCATCTGTCTCTTTTGCCAGAGTCTTTTACCTCAAGATGTACCACAGGATCTAGAGTTCAGCTAGTTGTCATGATTAGAAGTTTTAATAAGGAGTCTATAACAATGATTATCAAACTTTTTGATCTTAGAACCCTTTCTATCCTACAAATGACTAAAGACACCAAAAGCTTTTGTTTATGTGGGTTATCTTCTACTAAATTAAATTTAAACTAAGAAATACATAACAATATTTAATTCATCTCTAAATAAAAATGAACCCAAGACTTATTAACATGATTGCATATTTTTATGAAAAATAACTATATTTTCCAAAACTAAAAAAAATTTAGTAAGAAGAATAACAGCACTTTACATTTTTTAATTATTTCTTTAAAGTCTGGCTTAATAGAAGGAAGCTAGATTCTCATTTCTTCTGTTTTCAATCTATTGCAATATGAAAAAAAAGCAGGTCTTATATAGATATATAAACAGAAAAGGGAAGAATATTTTAATAGCCTTTGTAGATAACTGTGGCTATTCTTCTTTGATACTACACCAAAATGCAGCAAGTGATAATAACTTAAAATTTAGTTTCAATGTGGAATCTGAAACGATATAAATGAACTTTTCCTATTCTATCAATTAAAATCCACTCAATTTTGTACTTTGCATGCATCTTTTACCCATACATGATCATTTAACATCTTTCATTGGTCAGAAGGAAAATACTAGGCCGGGCGCGGTGGCTCACGCCTGTAATCCTAGCTCTCTGGGAGGCCGAGGCGGGTGGATTGCTCGAGGTCAGGAGTTCGAAACCAGCCTGAGCAAGAGCGAGACCCCGTCTCTACTATAAATAGAAAGAAATTAATTGGCCAACTAATACATATAGAAAAAAAAAGCCGGGCATGGTGGCACATGCCTGTAGTCCCAGCTACTTGGGAGGCTGAGGCAGGAGGATTGCTTGAGCCCAGGAGTTTGAGGTTGCTGTGAGCTAGGCTGACGCCACGGCACTCACTCTAGCCTGGGCAAAAAAAAAAAAAAAAAAAAGAAGGAAAATACTGGTTCACTGAGTTACATAAATTTTCCAAATGCCTGTCATTAGACTATATATGTGTGTGTGTGTGTATATATATATATATTTTTTTAAGTCACATTTGTTAATTTTGCAAATGATCTCATGAGAAAACTATTTAAACATGAGGAGCTGTCAGGCTCACCAACGGTAGATAGATGTTTTCCAAAATCCTAATCCACTGGAATGCCCACATTTTATCACTGGCAACAAATATGGTTAGCTGTTTTCCTTGAAGTGACAGGCTCTCTTAATCATTTTCAAGAAATATCTACCAAATATCAAAGTCTGAATACTGCAGTTTGTCTGTCAGTCATTCTCAAGCAAAAATGGCATTCCATGAAAAAAAGAGAAGTAGGTCAAACTAAAACAATCACACAGCATTTTCCTCACGACTGCCTCATACTTCATTATACAGCAGATACAGAAGTGCTTTCTTCATACTTTCCATTTTGTCATATAGGATGCTAAAAAGCATTTACTCAAATACTGATAATTAGCAAAATTAATAATTTATTGCTTCACCAAGGACATCTTTAGGTGAAACATGCATTTTTCCTAAATACAAGTGTGTGGTGGTGAAGAATACAATGACTATGAGTGCAATTTGGTGCCAAGGCCTTGATCCACCAACAGTGTACAATTGCTTTTCAGTCTCAGTGCAAAAGTCTACACAGTGAAAAAGGCAAACATCGTGATAGTTTTATTATGAACAGTTTAACTCGCAGACCCCTGAAAGGGCCTTAGCCCAGAAGCTCTCACTTGGAGAACTACTACTCTACAAAGTATCACCTTTCTCAAAAGGTTCTTTTAAATATGTGCCTCGAGACTGATCAGCTTCTGAGATCCAATGGAATGATCCTTTAAGAGTAGAATTTCATTCACTAGAGAATAAAGATTTCTGATACATTATTCATTTAACAGTATACAGGAAAAAAAGTAATGTCATCCAAGTTTTATACCAATAAAGAAACAATAATCTGCCTCATATTCCTTGTTCTGCTTAAGGAAGCCAATGAAAAATGCTTAGGAATACTTTTCTCTGGGCCATATACTAGAGCTGGGCAACAATAACATAAGGTAGCTTTTTTTTTTTTTTTTTTTTAATTTAATTTTATTTTTTTTTGAGACAGAGTCTCACTTTTGTTGCCCAGGCTAGAGTGAGTGCCGTGGCGTCAGCCTAGCTCACAGCAACCTCAAACTCCTGGGCTCAAGCGATCCTCCTGCCTCAGCCTCCCAAGTAGCTGGGACTACAGGCATGTGCCACCATGCCCGGCTAGTTTTTTTTTGTATATATATTTTTAGTTGGTCAATTAATTTCTTTCTATTTTTAGTAGAGACTGGGTCTCGCTCAGGATGGTTTCGAACTCCCAACCTCGAGCAATCCGCCCGCCTCGGCCTCCCAGAGTGCTAGGATTACAGGCGTGAGCCACCGCGCCCGGCCCATAAGGTAGCTTTTAAAAGATATTCTGTTAGTTTTTGAATTTTTTCCCTATACCTACTTAAGAATTACTCAAAGTAAGGAATAATCAAATTCTTAATAATACCTCGGGCAGGGCGCAGTGGCTCATGCCTGTAATCCTAGCACTCTGGGAGGTCGAGGTGGGCGGATCACTCAAGGTCAGGAGTTTGAAACCAGCCTGAGCAAGAGCAAGAGCGAGACCCTGTCTCTACTAAAAATAGAAAGAAGTTAATTGGCCAACTAGAAATATATATAGAAAAAATTAGCTGGCCACATGCCTGTAGTCCCAGCTACTTGGGAGGCTCAGGCAGGAGGATCGCTTGAGTCCAGGAGTCTGAGGTTGCTGTGAGCTAGGCTGATGCCACAGCACTCTAGCCCAGGCAACAGAGTGAGACTCTGTCTCAAAAAAATAAATAAATAAAATAATAATAATAATAACTTCAAAGGGTCCCCATTCATAGATGGAGTCTCATTGTGGAGCTCAGAACACATCACAAATGTCATTTCATCTCATAATTTTTTCAAGTTTCCAATGATCTCTGTTAGATGGAGTGAAAGATACTACTGCGGAGATTCATAGGGTCGTATGATAAAACAAGTGAAAACTCAAGTGAGTGACGGACAGAAACTCACCTATATTCTCTACTTGGGACTCCAAAAATACTAAAGTACCGTGTTTCCCCAAAAATAAGCCCTATCGATAAAATAAGCCCTACCGGGAATTCTAAGCATTTGCGCAATAGAAGCCCTACCCGGAAAATAAGACCTAGTGATGGGCGTGGCTACATAGTGCATCTGCACAACCCACGTATTTCGTCACAGAGCGGGTAAAGAAGACGAACAGCCCTTCTCATCTGCCCCATGAGAGCTCTATTGCTCGACATGAGAGATTGGGGCCAATAGTTCTAAAGGAAATAGAGTCACGTTCAGGATTTGGAGAGTTATGATGTTCCAGAAGAAGACGAATTAACTATATTTGAATAAATGTAGATTGTTGTACCATACTTTAAAAAAAATAACACATCCCCTGAAAATAAGCCCTAGGGTGTCTTCTTGACGAAAAATAAATATAAGACCCTGTCTTCTTTTTGGGGGAAACATGGTATACTGGGTATTTCTCTGAGCACTTTGCAGGTATTATCTTTCAACAATACTGTAAAGCAGGCAGTACTGCCTCCACTTTAATCACTTCGGTACAAGCGTCAAGTGTCGACTATAGTTGATAGCCACAGATGAACGTGCAAAGTAACTTTAGCCGACAGCCGTGATATGACTTTTCTAATTTTTCATTTATCAAAATAAAATTGCGAACATTTAAAAATAACGATCTGGGAGGCTAAGGCAGGTGGATTGCTCGAGGTCAGCAGTTTGAAACCAGCCTGAGCAAGAGCAAGACTCCGCCTCTACTATAAATAGAAAGAAATTAATTGGCCAACTAATATATATAGAAAAACCTAGCCGGCCATAGTGGTGCATGCCTGTAGTCCCAGCTACTCGGGAGGCTGAGGCAGGAGGATCGCTTGAGCCCAAGAGTTTGAGGTTGCTGTGAGCTAGGCTGACACCACAGCACTCACTCTAGCCTCGGCAACAAAGTGAGACTCTGTCTCTAAATAAATAAATTAAATAAATAAATAAATATAACGTAGTATATTACCTATTCTGATCTACATTACAAGTAAAGCAAAACAAGCTTTCAGTGCTTTAAAGCTTTCCTCATCACACAAGAGCAAAACGGATTTGTCGTCAGTGCACAGCACATACTACCGTGCGGACTGTGAGTGCCAGCTGTGGGCAAGGTTTCGTGGTCGGTGAGAGCGGTCCCAAAGTGGTTAAAGATGAGAAAACTAAAGCTCAGGGAAATTAAGGTTCCTGACCAAGACCACACAGCTAATAAGAGGCTCCAGAGTCCACACCTTCATCACAAAGCTAGAATCTGAAGAGAAGTAACATGGCTGGATTGTGAGGGCAGAGGAAAGGAGAGAGTATGATGTACCCTATGCCAGGAGCATTCTGGCTCCCTCCAGAGGTGTGGCACCAACAACAGCTCTGAAAGATCCATATCAACTGCACTATTTTACATGTATCATAAAATGAGGCCCAGAAAAGTAGAGTAACTTCCATCATATCCAATCTTACTAAGTGTCAACCTCCACTCTCTTTCCACAATACTGCATTACAAAATTGGGATTTAAGCATTCTCTATTGAAAAATAAGTACACACTGGTTTCTGAGAACATACTTGCGTGACTTTATTTCCTCCAATTCTTTTGTGAGTTTCTCATTTTTTTCTTGAGCTTCATGTAACCGGCGCTTCAGATCGCCAATCTCCTCTTGTGCTTCAGATTTAATGTCATTTGCAATGACTACTGCAGTCTGGAGATCAGCTTGAAACTGCCGCCATTCCGCAGATTCTTCCTATATTAAAAAACTAACTTTTTATTTCCAAAAGAGAGCAATGAAGATTTATTTAAAAGCAATAAAATTTGTTTCTGATTAGATTGCTATAATGCACTGTATTTCCAAATGATGATTAAATTTTTTTATCCCAGAGAATTGCTATTACCTATTTCTAACAGGCCATGCAGCTATTATTAGTGAACTTGTTCTTAATGAGGAAAAGGTTTTCTAGCTGATCTGCCTACTGGGGCATCAGGCACTCAGTACCCAATAAATATTAATGAAACTAATATCAAGCCTCCCTTCCTCATGCAAGTCTCAAAGTAAGTCTTATGAAAATAAACATCTTCCAAAATTTACAAAGCTTTACCTCTGAAAAGCTCAAGAAGGTATATTAATGGTATGTGAACCATATAGTAAAAAACTATAAATATCCTGACATCAAAGACTGCAAAAAAAAAAAAAAAAATCAAAGAAAAGGAAAAGGAAGAGGAAGCCAGAAGAAAAACAACAAACTCAATGCAGGCAGACAAAATTATACAAAGAGGCAGTAAGGAACTGTATGATCTGTTGCTTCCCACAGCCGTGGAGGATGCGGGTGCGGCTGGGTGGGAAGTCGCCCCAGGGCCTCACCTCCACCAGGGCCACAGCTGGGCCATGCCTAAGCCCAGGCTCCCCTTGCCCCCAAAGGGATTTTCTGACATCAGGAAGGCAGCCTGAGAACTGTGGCAGGACCCAAACTATGAGATTAGCTTTTTCCCCTCTCTAGGCATTATGGCGGCCCTGCTTGTTGGCAAGTTGATTGAATCTACAGAATAAAGAAAACAACAATCACATGAAAGCAGCTTAGTTTGGGACACTTTATAATCCAAAGCTAATAAATTTTGTTTTCAAAATATAACACTTGTTTCCTAAATCCATCTTCCTAAAATTACCACCCATAAATTACCAGAGGTTGAGTATTGTTCATCTGAAATGCTTGAGACCAGAAATGTTTTGGATTTTTTCAGATTTTGGAATGTTTGGATTATACTTACCAGATGAGCATCCCAAATCCAAAAATCCATGAGCATTTCCTTTGAGCATCATGTTAATCAATGCTCAAAAAAAACTTCAGATTCTGGAGCATTTCAGACTTCAGATTAGGGATAGTCACCTGTAGTATATTCTCCTGCACAAAATCCAGCACTAGTCCCAACTGGAAACGACAGCATTTGCTTTCTGCCCAAAGCCCAATGGGGCCAATATTACCACTGTACCAACAGCTTAAGATGATTGATAATGTGGTCTATCACTATACCTCAAATGTCAGAAAATTACGATTTCTGACAAGATCATATATGAAGATTTATCCTACCCGAAGTCTCCGATGTAGTGTCTTGATTTCTCTTTCCATGTCATGTTTTTGGTCCTGGAGTTTTTTAACTGTATCTGAAAAGACCACCAAAGTTTAAATATTTATTCTTATAGCTGTGTTCCAAAGAAACAAGATAAAGAGAAGAGGTACTTAAATATGAAATTCAAAGAAAGCTATCCTGTCCAAATACTTTAAAAAAAATTTTAATAGAAAATTTTTAAAGAAAAAAAGGAATATTCAATCCAAGTATTAACCAATATTACATTCTAAGGAAAATACCAAGTTAAAATAACATTTCTGGATCACTTCCTTCCTCAGTGCCTTAATTCTGAGACAAAAAGTTAAGTATATCAATTGTTAGAAATGCACACATTGTTGGCACATAACCAATCAAAACAACACTGACTGTTATTAAAATGTGAACTTTTAATCATAAGGCTTATTAATCTAAAGTATTTATGCAAGCATGATTACCTTTACACACTGGAATACCAGAAAAGTGGTAAATTAGTAAAATTAATTATACAAATAATTATATAACACCCAGGGGAGTTGTTTTTTTAAATTAATTCTATAGAAAATCTTTTTTACAAAATAAAGAATATATTTATAAAGTAAACCAATAACTCAAATTATTTCTTGCATAATATGAATTTTTTAGAACAGTTTCATTCATCTTGTAAAAACATTTAATGATCACCAGTAAGACGCAAACTACTATTCTAGATAGACTGGGGACACTGAAGGCCCACCACAGTCCCCTAGTGTGCCAGTCCCCTAGAAACCAGAACGGTAAGGGGAAGTCACATTCTCTTTGGAGGTTCTGCTCTCAAATCCATGCCTTAGGAAGGTGCCCTGCTGGTAGCTGCCGTTCAGTAAATCTCTCACAGCTGGTTACTTTGAATACCTTTTTGGTTAAGCACCAGAAATGGTCCTTACATTCACCTGGTGACAAATTCTTCACTCTGATTTTACCTATAACCCCTGCCCCAGTAGACACCTGCCTGTTCTCAGTGTTCTGACCCTGCCTTACATACAGCCTTGCAATGTGCTGCTGCTGAAAGGATCACGTCTCTTTACACACCCATCTCTACCACTAGGCTGACAGCACCTCGGAGGCAGAAGCCATGTACCTGGCACATAGTAGGCCTTTATTTATTTATTTTTTGAGACAGAGTCTCGCTTTGTTGCCCAGGCTAGAGTGAGTGCCATGGTGGCAGCCTAGCTCACAGAAACCTCAAACTCCTGGGCTCAAGCAATCCTCCTGCCTCAGCCTCCCAAGTAGCTGGGACTACAGACATGTGCCACCATGCCCAGCTAATTTTTTCTCTATATATTAGTTGGCCAATTAATTTCTTTCTATTTATAGTAGAGACAGGATCTTGCCCTCGCTCAGGCTGGTTTCGAACTCCTGACCTCGAGCAATCCGCCCACCTCAGCCTCCCAGGGTGCTAGGATTACAGGCATGAGCCACCACACCAGGCCCACAGTAGGCCTTCAAAGTGGAATGAATGTATAAATATGCAAGCTAATGGTAACTAACAGTAAGAAAAAAGCAATACTGAAATCATTACCTAGGGGTTTTTTTGTTAGTATTATATTGAAAGAATTTATTTGTTGTCAGGGACATCAAAACCACAGACACTGGTGTTTCTGAGTAGATGACACTCTTTCCCATTCTGAACACTTAGTGGCAAGGACTCACCACAGTGAGCACCTGCACACAATGACACATATAAGCAACAAAATCTTCCCCAGATAACAAATTGTTAGCTTTTAATCAAGACCCTAAAGTGGCCAAGTGCAGCAGCTCATCCCTGTAAATCCAACACTTTGGGAGGCTGAGATGCAAGTATCACTTGAGGTCAGGAATTCAAGACCAGTCTAGACAACATAGCAAGACCCCATTTCTTTTTTTTTTGAGACAGAGTCTCACTTTGTTGCCCAAGCTAGAGTGAGTGCCGTGGCGTTGGCCTGGCTCACAGCAACCTCAAACTCCTGGGCTCAAGCGATCCTCCTGCCTCAGCCTCCCTAGTAGCTGGGACCACAGGCATGTGCCACCATGCCCGGCTAATTTTTTCTATATATATTAGTTGGCCAATTAATTTCTTTCTATTTATGGTAGAGACAGGGTCTCGCTCTTGCTCAGGCTGGTTTCGAACTCCTGACCTCGAGCAATCCGCCCGCCTCGGCCTCCCAGAGTGCTAGGATTACAGGCAAAGACCCCATTTCTTATTAAAAAAAAAATTAACCAGGTGTGGTGGTGACACACGCCTGTAGTTCCAGCTACTCAAGAGGCTGAGGCAGGAGGATCACTTAAGCCCAGGAGTTTGAGGTTACAGTGAGCTATCTTGGGGCCACTGCACTCCTGTCTGGGCCCTGTCTCTATTTAAACAAATAAAGACCCTAAAACATAAATATCTTGTTGTTTTAGAAGGCTCATCACCTTCCTCATCCTAGTTCCATGAGGAACCTTTGCTTCTGAAATCTTTATGCCATTATGTCTTTCACTTAATGCTGGTATGTTTGTGTTCTGATACTTTTAAATGGCATGAATTCACTTCAGAAGTAACATAAAGCCTAGAATATTTATAACAATTATATGTACAATAATTATTACAAATATACAATAACAATAATGTTATGTAAAGCTGTATAAAAAATAAATGAGATAAAATGTTGGGTATGTTTTGGTACCTAGTGGTTAACTTTCTCACATTCATTGCTCCAAAATTGTTTTTTTGTTTTTTGTTTTTTTTTTTTGAGACAGAGTCTCACGCTATTGCCCAGACTAGTGTGAGTGCCGTGGTGTCAGCCTTGCTCACAGTAACCTCCAACTCCTGTGCTCAAGTGATCCTCCTGTCTCAGCTTCCTGAGTAGCTGGCACTACAGGCATGCGCCACCATGCCCAGCTAATTTTTTTTCATATATATATTAGTTGGCCAATTATTTCTTTCTATTTATAGTAGAGACGGGGTCTCGCTCTTGCTCAGGCTGGTTTCAAACTCCTGACCTCAAGCAATCTGCGCCTTGGCCTCCCACAGTGCTAGGATTACAGGCGTGAGCCACTGCGCCCGGCCTCCAAGATTGTTTAACAAAGTCAGGTCCTATGAAATAAAAAGAGCTCAAAATTTATTCATTAATTCAATAAATGTCATATTAAGTATTAACTTTGTGCCAGGCTTTTTTCCAGGTGCTGAAAATATAAAGGAAAGAAAAAGATGCAGTCCTCATCATATTAGAGACAGAAGGCTAGCAAAGCAGGGCTTCATATACAAAGGATTAGCCTTTAGAGGTCTGTCTCAGGTACAACCTACTTCAGACCACATTTAAACTTGGAAACTAAAGGTAAAATGAGCCATCCAAACTGGTTATGGGCAAAGCAACCACCAAGCTAGATGGGTGAGTCCACTATCCTGATCCTCATCTCGGGAGGCAAGGGCGGCTCTAGAACCAGCGGGGGAACATGGCTTCTCATGACATCACGCATGCATGGATTCAGGGTTTCAGTGACATTATCAGACACAGATAAACAGTTAAGGACAGAAGCTGAAATATTTCTAGTGTTGAAAACACTGGAAGTTATGCCATTCATTTATAGTATATCCATTTTTATGCAAGAAATATACATATATATATATAATTTTTTTTTTTAAGATAGCGTCTCATTCTGTTGCCCAGGCAGTGGTGTCATAATACCTCACAGCAACCTCAAACTCCTGGGCTCGACTGGGTGTGGTGGCTCACGCCTGTAATCCTAGCACTCTGGGAGGCCGAGGCAGGCGGATTGCTCAAGGTCAGCAGTTCAAAACCAGCCTGAGCAAGAGCGAGACCCCGTCTCGACCAAAAATAGAAAGAAATTAATTGGCCAACTAATATATACAGAAAAAATTAGCCAGGCATGGTGGCGCATGCCTATAGTCCCAGCTACTCGGGAGGCTGAGCTAGGAGGATTGCTTGAGCCCAGGAGTTTGAGGTTGCTGTGAGCGAGGCTGATGCCACGGCACTCATTCTAGCCTGGGCAACAAAGCGAGACTCAAAAAAAAAAAAAAAAAATTAATTGGCCAACTAGGAAAAAAACAATTTAAAAACCTCCTGGGCTCAGGCAATCCTGCCTCAGCCTCCCAAGTAGCTGGGACTACAGGTACCCACCACCACACCCAGCTAATTTTTTTCTATTTTTAGATGGGGTCTTGCTCTTGCTCAGGCTGGTTTGGAACTCCTGACCTTAAGCAATTCTCCCACCTTGGCCTCCCAGAGTGCTAGGATTACAGGTGTGAGCCACCATGCCCGGACAAGAAATATCTTATAATTAAAACAAGCAAGCAAACAAATAATGTTAGGAGTATAATTTCTCTTGAAATTTTCTAAAAATTGTTCTTTTTTTGTCTGGTCACAAAGGACACATCTACTTATCTTTAGACATAATTCACACAAGACAAAGGCAGCAAATCTTACTATAGTTCATTTATAACATCTGGCATCTTGATCCTCAGGTGACATTTAAACTACATGACCATCTTAGACTAATCATAAAATTCCAAGTTGCATTCATTTCTTTTGTTCTTATCCTTTTCTCTTTATTCAACTCTTCTTTCACAGCCATAAAATTTACATAATTGCTATTCTTTAAACAGCATTTTCCTGCCCCTGCCATTACATATTTAATATTGTCAAATCTTACTACTACTCCTCATAAATAAAAGGGAAGCTGGCAGCCAGTGGGCATAGTTAGACAGAATAAAGTGCATTAAAATTGTCTCTAGGGAATTTCATTTAAAACTTTACAATCATGCCTGTATTTTCACTGTAAAACAGAAAGTATTAAAAATGACAACAGGCTTTTCCTCCCCAAAACAAAGGAGTTTGTGTCTAAGTTCTCGCTATGAAAACTACTTAGCAAAACTGCCATCTAGCAGGATTAATGGTCTCACAAGAAGGCAGCATTACTCTTCAACCCTAGAACCTCTAAAACCAGTTTCCTTCCTCTTTAGTTTTTCTTGTATAGGGGACACTGCCACCTATTGTCCTCAACTCAAAAGCAACATTCAATTCTACAACAAACAGAAAGGCT